TGTCTTTTCACAGCTAATTTGTATTCTTGAATTCTGATTTGAAGGGGACGCCCACTTTGGCCACTGTAATGTCTGTTACAGTTCAAACATGCAATTTATTTTGTAAATGGTATTAATTTTACCTTCTTTTTCTGTTAGATGAGTCTTTCGGTTTCCACAGAATCGAATGAAATGACTGTACTGGCTGGCTTGTGTTCTATATCTATTTCAAACGGTTTCAATATTCTAGCTGTTATTTCAGAGATATCTTTTATAAGTGGTAGGATGAATTTTCTTGTGGTCTTTGATGATGGTTCCCTGTTAGTGTTATGACTCTGTTTTAAACACTTTTTGATGAAATTCTGCAGATATCCATTCTTTTTGAAGACGGTTGTTAGTAGGTATTTCTCTTCCATTCTTTTCAACGCTGGAGTAGTGCTACAGTGTGTGTTTGAACTCTCTTTTAAACAATGGCGGCACATAGTTTCTTTTGTGAGTAATTGGGTTGTGGTTGCTAGCATAGTTGAGTATTTAAATTAAATTAACTAGCTAGCTAGTTAGCTAGCTCAGAGAAGACAGTTTCTATTATCTATTGATTACTGAGTGAGTGAGTGAGTACACAATTAAATTGCATCAAAACCTAGCAAGTAGACGACTATTTCCATTGAAAATGTAAGCGCATAGACTCCATTTATAGTTATAGTTTCGCCTATGCGTACATTATTTAGTTCAAATAACTCCCTTTAGCTTAGAAAAGAAAACTGTGAAAACGGTAAGTAGGGGGGGGGGGCTGAGAAGAACACAATAACAAAAATAATAATAATGATAGCAATGACAACAACAACAACAGTGGTAACCAAATGTTTTCAACCCACCCATCTCATTTAAAAAGGCTGATGAAGAAAGAAGAAAAAGAGCAGCTTGACACAAAACTATCGATTTTAAAAGAAACATAAAATTTTGAATTACAAGTGAATAATACTAATAATAATAATCATAAAAACTATGAGTTGAGTGAAAAACAACAATAATATCGGAATAAATTACCATAATGGAGACACACGTGTGTGCAATATAAGATACTTCACTGATCTATTTAACAAATCTTTTTCCAGTAATATTGTGCCTGCCGTTTGCAAGGCCGTTAAAGTTGTACCTATACCTAAATCATTTACTGGAGCATGTGTCAAATTTAGACCCATTGCTATTATCTCTCCTTTTTTGAAAACTTTGGAGAAACTGCTTTTACTTAGTCTTGTACCTTGGCTTAAATCCTTCAATGAACCTAAACAATTTACCTATAAGCACAGTAGAAGCACTGTAGATGCAGTTGCCGTCTTATATCATAACATTGCTTCCAGTCTAGACAAGACGGCTAAATTTGTTCGTTGTGCCTTTCTAGACTAAACATCTGCTTTTGACTCGGTCCCTATGGACATCTGATTAAATCAACTTGCTGCAAGTCAAACAGAATGTTGGGCTGTTAACTGGTTACATTCCTATTTCTCAGAAAGAAAGCAGTACACCGTGTATAAAGGGAAGTCTTCCACTTCATTGCCTACTGAGAAGCTGGTGTCCCTCAACGCGCTGTCCTTTCTCCTTTTCTTTTTTCTTTCTTCTTACATGACTTGCCTCAGTCTGATGAAATAAATTTTGTGAAGTACGCTGATGATTTAACAGTTTCAATGGCTGTTAACTCCCAGCTAGACTGTAACAAAATAAATAGCTTTCTGTCGGGAGTCAGTAAATGGTCTGAGTCTAATGGTCTTAAACTGAATCCTTCTAAATGTCAAACTGTTATTTTCAGCTTAAGATGTAAAAGACAGTTAAAAGGAGTTGCCGATTCTCATGACAGTTGTAATATTGACGACAATGATACAGGAATTAAATCAGAAACTAAGTATCTTGGACTTATTCACTCTTCTGATCTCTCCTGGTCTTCTCATGTCTTAGCGATCTCTAGTAAAATATTCCGCCTGACATTTTACATTAAGAAGTTAAGGCACCATATCATGTAAAGAGAACATTATATTCAATATTTTTAAACATGCTAGGATTTCTATACCGAATTGACAAAACTGTGTAAAACAAGGCCACGGCAATTTTCACTTGTATTATTATCATTATTACCTTAGCTGTTATCATTATTACTATTATTTGCATTTTATATGCTGCATGTTTTTGACATTAGCCCTATTGTAAATGTGGAAAATTTTCTGTGTGATTAATTTTATTTATAATTTGAGGAAATTAGATGCAATATTGTGATTAATGCTGAAAATTCCATTCTGTATCACAAGTACTGTTTTTGGAATAAAGTAAATCATTATTATTATTACCTGTGTCTTTAAATATATAAATAAGCTATGACAATCTTTTTGGTTGAGTTGTGTTCTCTGACCTGGATGGTTTACTGGCGAAGCTTTCATTGCCCCTTCCCCTCCACTAGGCAACATCCTCAGAGCATAAACTTCAATTTGTGAAGTGAGCTTTTAAATTTCTCCACGAGTTAATTAGTCATCTCTCCTGATGGGTGACGTTGAACGTGAATGGGCGCTCTTGTCTGGCTTCATATCTTCTAGTCTCCTTGTAGTATTGGTATTGATTGTTTCCTTGACCTGAAGTTTGACCTTATTGTGCATAAGATTTTCCTCTTATGGATTGGTAAATTTTATCGATTTCAATGTGCCTGTAAATTTCCAATTCACCTCTATACCAGGCTTCCAAACATTCTCTGGTGTTTCCTGTCAAATATTTGAACGTTGTCCCAATCAAATTAGTGCCTGTGGTCGTCTGTATACAGCGATATGAGGGAGTAGATGGTTTGGAATTGATATCACACACACAAACCAGTAAAATCATTTCACTTGATTGTATTTGAACCAAAAGACTCAACAGAGAAAGAAGATAAAACCAACATTTATTTATAAATTAGATTGCAATGACTGTGAAAAACACTACATTGAGCAAAGTGGACGCTTTTTTCGTCATCGCATCGATGAACATAAACTAGCCATCAAAAGATACAAGATATCCACTCCTCCCTCCTGTCGCTTATTGACTGACTGACTGGTTTCAACATAGAACTTTGCACCGATATGCGGTAGTTTGAGTCGCCACACTCCATGTAGCGCAAAAAGCAAGCATACAGCCAACCGAAGATACCAATTCGTTTGGGAAAACATTTAAATATTAGACAGAGGAAACACCAAAAACAGCAGAGAATGTTTAGAAGCCTGGTATTCCAATGAATCGGTAATTTAGAGGCACATTGAAATAGATAAGATTTACCAATCGATAAGAAGGAAGTCATGTGAACAAAAAGGTCAAATTTGAACTCAAGAAAACAATCATACACGTAGACAGACAAAACAGACAAAAGCAACCAATCACATTTAGGGTCACCAGGAAATCTGACTAATAAACTCGTGGAGAGATTTAAAAGCTCACTTCACAAATTGAAGTGTATGCGCTGAGGATGTTGCCTAGTATGGGGGGGTCAATGAAAGCTTCGCAAGTAAAACATTCAGGTCAGAGAACACAAATAAATCAAAATCATCTATCTGAGCTACAAATCTTTTCTATTAAACTACGGTAATCAAGCAGACAGAGTATGAATAAATACTAACGCGTATAGTGAGTACCTGTCTGAAACTATGAGAGAACAATGAACTGTGCTCGAATGGAATCCAATAGGGAAGCGACGAGTGAGTCGTCAGTGCGAGAGTGTCATGGAGGAGATCGTGTGGCGAAGAGATGGGAGATTATGGTCAATCGTGGAGCCAGCCAGCTGAAGAGAACGGCAGAAAACAGAACAAAGTGGAGATGTGTTGTTGAAGCCCTATGTTTCATTCGGAACGCAAGGGGATAATAATAATAAATGATCCCGTTTATGCCTAAAGGTGAAGTTAACAAGTAACGATACAGTGCGTCAATGATTCAACCACAAAATGTTCAGCAGTCACAACACAGGAAGTCCAAGAGTGCGATTCCCAGTAGCCGATTATCTGCTACACCTCGCCTAGTTTACTAGCCAATAGGCAGTAAGACCAGAAAGGAAAGAAAGTTTGGCGTCAGAGTAACAACATCATTGCGTAAAAACAAACAACAGGTCGGTCGGTTTTCGACATAGAACTTTGCACATATGTGCAGCAGTTCAAGTCGCCACAATCCCCACATGTAGCACACAAAGCAAGAGAAGAAAGTAGGAGAAATGCATAATAATATAGACAGTAAACAGAGATGTGAGACAAAGGAATAGTAATAACGAAGAATAAAACAGTTTTATTGGAAATCATAAGTCACAAGGAGTGGATGCATCTGCGCCAGCCATTGAGGACGATTTTGAGCCATGTCACCAATTGTTTCCAACCATTGGTTTTTACCGTCCCGAGAACTCCAACCAGGAAGTCTACACCTTCCTGTGAGGTTTAAACTAACTGTTATAGATTTGATTGACTGGTGCCATGTTTTCGTTTGACCGCCGCTAGCTCTTTCCCAGCCTGGCCATATATCAGCTAACATTGCCCGTCGAGGAAGGCGATGACTAGGCATATTTATTTATTTTTATTTTATTTTGATTTACAGCTTGATTCCACACCATATTTTCAGTACAAGTGTGGAATTTTCATCATGGATATCGGTAGTCCAAATTCAGACCGACCATAGATATCGGGTGTGCGCCGGCAGGGGATCGAACCCCAGACCATGTGCATGGTCGGCGAGAGTCCTAACCACTGTGCCACCGACGCACACGTCCTAATCATCTCAGTCAATGTAATTTCACAGTCTCATCGACTGATTTCCCCGTCATACCTAGCACTCGACGTTTAACCTCAATATTGCTCACCTTATTATACCACTTCACGCGGGAGATAGAACGCAGACACCTATGATCAAAGACAGCTAATCTTTTCATGTCTTCCGCTCTCAATGGCCAAACAACAACACCACCACCACTCAGAATGCAAAAAAAATGCAAATGAAAGTATGAATGAATGAATGAAAGACCAAACACTTACTCATTGATATTATGATACATTGATAATACTGTTATGCCGATTATTAAAGAAACAATCGACATAATCCAAAATGCAACAACTGAGACACGAACTCGTTCAACTAATTTTGCTCGCCTAACATCTTCTGGACTGGTGGTCATAATTCTAAAAGAAAACAGGGGAAAAAAATGAAGCATTGATAAAAGGTGGGAAAGATACATCTTTCATACAGGATAAGGTACAGCAACATGCAAGAAAGAGGGTAGTCAGTCAGTTAAAACTACTTGGAATAGGTTCTTTATGGGTCAGGCTATAACGCTACATATGTTATATGAGGGTTGGTGATAATAACCAGCTGTCCACACAGACATAGGCGGGGTTGGATTCGAACCCCAGGGACTCACTACCTAGAAGATGGGGCGACAAGCCAATAGGTTGAATCTCCGCTGTATATGTATATATACTTAAGCACTATACTGTATCCCAAATCTTTATCAACCTCATTCAAAAGTTTTACGATAATGTCACATGTCAATTGATCTACAAGGGAAAACTCGCCGAAGCTTCCCAAGCTAAGACAGGAGTAAGACGAGGTGGCTAACTATCACCGATGATATTCTTAATTCTGGTGGACTGAATTATGTGCCAGCCTGTGGGGAGTGAAAAGGCAGAAATACGTTGGATCTATAAGAAGACTCTACAGGATCTGAACTTTGCGGATGATCTTTGTCTAATATCACATAAACTCGAAGATCTACACAGGTGAAAACCAATCAGTTGTAAGAAGAAGTAGGGAAGGCAGGACTTCAAGTGAACATACTCGATGACCAACCAACCACAACAAGCACTAATCGCTATCAAAGGGAGGAATTTGACAGAAGGTTGCTTCCTTCAAATATCTATGCAGCTTCTGACACAAACGAAGATGTCAAAACCACAGTTGGAAGCGTAACAAAGACCTTCATCACATCGGATCTACAACACTAATATTAAGTCACTCAGTTCTTCTATATGGATCAGAAACTTCCAAGAAGCGTCACGAAAAGCATTTCCAGCAGCCAGCTGCAAACTTTTAATCAACAACCTGCCCCCCTTCGCTCTATGCTGAAGATCAGATAATAGGCTAGAAAGCATTAACAACAAGAAACTCTGTGAACGAACCAACCAAGAGCCTATTACTGAACAAATATTCCAAAGAAAATGGATGGGATACACGATGAAGAGAAAGTTGGGTGACATCGCCGGCCAGGCCATCGTTCGGTCGGAATAGGAAATGGTGAGTTGGTACAAGGGTCCGAGGGCGATATGAAGAACAGCACGGGAGAAGGAGATGAGAGCCTATAGGCAGTCACGGAGTCAGTTAAAAAGGACTGCAGATAACAGGATAAAATAGAGATTTGCTGATGAAGCCGTATGTTCCACTCAGAACAAGGGATATATATATATATATATTCCTCTACATTCCTAGTGGAAAATAGGACTTCACGTTAGAGGCTTTAAATTTAGGTAGCAGCGGTGTTTAGTTTTACGGGATGGGGTTGCTAACCAGCCTCACTTATAGCCCAATCTTACCAGTCTTATTACTGGCTTATCGAGGTAAAGAAGTGCGTCGGTGGTCGGGGATCGTACCCCGGACCACATGTATGGTCGGCGAGCATTCTACCGCTGTGCCACCGACGCAAAGGATACATATATATACATACATATATTGTTGATATTAGATTGTTGGAGACAATCAGCCACAGGAAGCTTAGCCTGACCTAGCTTTCGTGCTAGTTGGCACTCACCAGTCAGCAAGCAAGGTGCATCTGCAATCACCTTGAAGGAACAGCTCATATTCCCTCCTGAGATTCGAACCAACGCGTCACCACCAGTCAATGCTGCAGTCAAACACGTTACCACTGAGTTATACACATACATATATACTAAAACAACTGAACAGAAACACCATCGGACATATACGATACAAAGTAAACATACAAATCAAAACAAAACAACCGCCAGAAATCTGAATACTCAGGAAATATTTCTCTTTATTTCTGAATGATTCATATATTATAGAAGTAATGCAAATTTTCAATGATTGTTGAAGAATATCACCATAAAAAAAGAAGAGATGGTGAGTTGCTTTACAAAATAAAAGAATTAAAGTACGCATAAGAATAGTAGTAGTCGAAGTAGTAGTAGTAGTAAAAACAAAAAACAAAACAAAAAAACTGTAATACATTTGGCAGTGTTGTGTACTGGCAAAGATGAAGATGTTGTTGAGTATTGTGGTTGTTGTTGGTGTTGTCATTTCTCTAAGATCATTTACAAGGTGGTATAATCTGAATATACATTATGTTCTTGATGAACTGTCAACTACTCTGACTGGTTTGCACTGAATGTGATATAAGCAAATATGTAAGTATGTATGTATATATGATGTATACTGATTTTAGAGAGAAAAACAAAAATAATAAAAGAGAATTATAATCTTTAGCTTTGACAAAAAACAAAATAATAATAATAATTTTATTTACATTAGGCATTTCGAATAATCCATCTCATTATACGATATAATATATATAATGTTAATCCACCCTTGAATAGAGCTTGTTGAAATTCTAAATGGGAAATTCTTTCTTCAAGTTTAACAAGATTCTGTTCAATAGTTGATAAGCACTGTTGATCTATACTAGACTGAGACGAGGGCTTGGCTACAACACGAAGGCGTTCTTTACTTCGATGACTTGATGTTTCACAGACAACACCAGCATGAGCACTAGCGCTAGCTGAAGCCTCTTCTTGATTGACTTGAGAAGAAGCATGAGCTTGAGAACTAAAATAAATAAATAAATTAGAATTTAATGTTTTGGGTGTTAAAAGAACAATGGGTTAGATAAGATATAGTTATTTCACAATTGATGTGCATTTCGCCTTTTTGCGGACTCATCAACTGGATGCATGTGTACCTATATTTCTAGTAGGTGATAATGGTATTCCCCCAATGAGACTTGAAGCTTGCGTCCATTGTTTCACAAACGCCAAGGTGTTAGCCTCTAGGACGTTTGGGTCATGAGGGCCACCTCTTGCATTTCGCGTTGACTGAGTGTGTTGGTCATGTCAATAGACATTGAGCAAATAAGTCAGACAAAAACAAACAAATACAATACACTATGAAACTATCTACTATTATTCCTCTGAATCCGATGTCAACTCATGATGAAATCCTGTAACCAGTCAAAAAATCCCCGCAAATTTAAAAAACACTCGAAGTTCTAAATTTAGTTAACGAATAAACGATATGCAGTATAACTTAAACTTCTTCTTCTTCTTGTAAACAATAAAATGATTAGTTCTTAAAATCAACTCAAATGTTCCAATAGCTAAGTGTGGGATTAGGATATCGCTTGAAACTCTTGTTGATGATGGCATAATAGGTTTAGGAGAGTTTTAACTTTACTTAGATAAGCTATTCAACAGAAGTTTACGGCATCACCTGAAGAACTCGAAACACCTTCGTTTTTATTCTATCTGATAAGATTTTATAACCCATAGAGCAATATATTAAAAACCTAAGTGAATAACCGGATATCTTACCAATAGAGATTAGGTGGAACTAATATCTGACAACTGTGCGTCGGTGACACAGTGGTAGAATGCTCACCAACCACGTCACATGTGGTTCCTGGTTCGATCCACGGCCAACACGACGAACTCCTTTACCTGACTAAACCAGTAATAAGACTGGTAAACGGGGAAGGTTGGGTTAGGTGAGGCTGGTTAGCAACCCCATCTCGTAAAAACAAATGCCACTACCACTGAAACTTCAAAGCTCTAGCTTGATGCCATATGTTCCACTGGGAACCTTTTGTGTCTACGAAAACATTTTTTCAGCCACTAACTGACCAGCTAAAAGCCAAAAACAACGTGTATATTGTTGCGGAGATAGATAGCTGCAGTTTCCTTTTTACTTATTTTAAAATGACTAACACAAACATGGAGATCTTCCAGATATCTGCATCAGGCACGCACACGATATAGGCCTGTCCAGTGGTCAGTGAAAAAACCCGCAGATATATTGACGTTATGTCGCCTTGAGGATAATCACGTTAGTCAAACTTTTAAACAATCTCAACACTGCACAAAGTTGAAGCAAACGAAAAGAAAATAATGTTGATAAAAACAGAAAGCGAAAAAATTAAGGCAGCTAATTGCGGTAAAGTCATCTACACTTGCTGACACTGCACAATAATCAATTTATTCCAAACAATAATAATAATTATTATTATGGAATGGAATTTTCAGCGTTTTTATACATATTGCAACAATTTAGCTTCTTTTAGTAATAAAGCCACAATAAACTGAATGTTGGTGAAAACATAATGAATTATAAATAGATAATATCACAGATAACACATGCAATAATAATAATAATAATCTTTGCCTATACTTTGAGGTTCAGTTACTGATTTAAAGAAGTTCTTTTTTGACATCTGACTATTCACATAAAAACTATGGTAAATATGGTATCGTAGAATTTTTATATTTAGTTGTACAGGGGTGTAAATTCTCATGAAGTGTCTTCCGTTTTTACCCAGAGAGATACAAGGAGAAAATAGCGAATAAAAAGGATGTTCAGTATCAGACAAGATGACTTAGACCTATTGTTTGCAAAAATTAAAATGCACATCAACCAACAACAATGTCAGTTAGTTGAGTCAAAGGCGCACACCACTAACCCTGCCTACCTACAACTTTCAGTGTTCTACGTAATATGACATAGTCTTTTTTGAGAAACCCATAGAAGAATAACGGAGAACAATAGAGAAGAATGGGCAGAATACATGAATTAATAAATTCTAAGAGAAGAGGCTGTTATGATGCTCAACTTCTTCATCTAATAGGTCAGACGAAAAATCTCCTTAGAAATCAAAAGGATATGAGACGACCAAGAGAGATTAGAAGAGAAACTGATGCCCATTTGGGAAATTTTCGATTTACTCTCTATCACAGTGTCATCAATATTACAGGAATCACGCAACCGAATCAGTCCACGCAAGTTTTTTCCACATCTGAAACTAAAATCAACAATATGAAACTTAGATAGATTCCGTTTAAGACCACTTAGGTGAGACCGCTTGATAACTTCAAAATACGAATCTATTCATATAAGAAAAATCGAATTCAGAAACTACTGGGATAGAAACGGTTATTTCATTCGCATATTTAATGAAATTAGCTTTTGAAGAATGAGGAAGGTCACACAAAAGGAAAAAAAGCAGAAATGGGAAGAGTACAGCGCCTTGAGACACGCCAGTTTCCTTTAGCAATGAAGAGGAGCGCTTTCCATTTAAAACAGTATGTTGTTTTTCAGCGAAAAATGTAGGAAGACAGCCATCTTGTCACCTATGACTCTGTACTTGCTGAAATCAGCTCGCTTAATAAAAGTGCCCTAGGAATGGAGTCAATAGTTTTCCTCAGGTGATATATCAGTTATAAGAAGGGGAAGTATATGTATGGTTATTACCAACCGGTTGCTCACGACGTGAAAAACAATAGCTTCTTGAAACACCTGAAGCAGAAGCAGTATTAGTGTTGCACGGCTGCACAGACCAGCAGAAAACTGTTTGAAACCAGGCAAGTGCCTCCTATTTGAAGTGGTTTTCGGGGCTGTCTGTATTAAGATCTTACCTCCCATTACGGACCACTACAAGGTAAGTTGGGATGCGTAGCCTTCGGGATCGATCTCTTCTAATGTTCACCACCCCTTCAAGAGCACTTAGACAGCATAGCTGGTTTGCTGATCATCTGAGGGAAACACTGCTCTTCCATCTCTATTCCTCAGCAGTACGAATTCATTCACAGACTTAGCAACTTAGAATATGACGATGACTGCATCTAGTTTAACCGCTTTTGGGACAGCCTTTCTAGCATCGTAGGACCTCCGGAAACATTAGTTTCAGCCAATATTTAACCTTTTCGGTCAATGCGATATGAAAGTTCAAGCACTACGTTAACATAGAGTCTACTGGTCGGAAATTCATTCACATATAACCAGTCGAGATATATAACCAATACTACATCACAGCTAACTTCATTATTCTAATTCAAGTATATGCCATCTCCTTCCTAATATTTTGAATTAAATACACGTCCTTAAATGTAAAATATGGTGTCTAAAATATAAAAATGCAATTTGGGCACTGTGGTAGGGTATAATTCCAAATTGGATAAGTTTATTCTATGTAACAGTGATACTGTGTTAACAAATGGATTATTGGTATTGTAACGAACGAATTTAGCCATTATGGTGATAAAAATTACAGCTATTTGCATTAGCTTTGTAATTAACCTAATTAATTTTTGGACGATTCCAAAATGCCTTAAAACCCCAGAAAAGAAGGGATTGTGGCCAATATTCCCATAGACGACCAATAACTTCGACACCAATACCTCAACAAAACTTTCTTCAACCAAGCGAAATGAAAAAATTAGAGCTCCCGCCTCACATAAATCATTCGTCATATAGCCTCAAGAACATGCGCACAGATTTCTACACAGCACATATTCCGCAAAGGATAGCCAATTAACAACACCTACACACCAGATAAAAAAGTGAACGACAGCAAGCAATCACTGATGAAAAACACTTACCGCATTAGTACAGAAAAAATGTGACTACAACAATGAGACCTCACAGTCAACAAATCACTATGACTTATAAATTACTGTGAACTTTGATTTTGAAGCTCTGACCCTGTTAAGTGAACTTCAGTTCCCACCTCTGTGACACCACTGTTTAACTTCGCCCTGTACCTCAAATTCAGTTTTCGAAATATACTAATCCAACGTAATTCCACTCCAGACCAAAAATAACATCAACCATAATGTCAGATTTTAAAAGATGGACAGCTGACATAACACAATGCGTGCAAGCCAAGTACATAAGTGATCAAATTATCTCCCATCTAAATTACTGCACTCCAGATATTTGGAAACATTTAAATTACTCTTTTGACAGGCTGCTTTTAAATTTTTACTATCTGAGAAGTTTACGCTCGTATATGTATACATGCATATGTATATATACATATGTATACATCTTCAGCTGCTTTCATTGCAAATAAAATCTAACAAAACTCGCCTGCAAAAGACCTTCGACTTGATATCACTGTTATTAAGAATGTCTGGGCTATATCCTGGTGTGTTCTCTGATGTACGTTTTGCGTCTAGAACTGAAAATTAGTTGGTTGAAATGAATCTAATTAGTAATTACTTATATCAGCAACTGGATAATTGCGAAAAGATACATCGTGACCCTCACTTAGCGTACCAGAGTTATCGGAGTCATAGGAGAGTTTTTCTGGTACTCTCATTTTCTTGTTTATATCAGTTGTGTAGTCGAACTCATACGGAGTAAGCTTAGGGTACAGATGATCCATTTTTTATACAAAAGCTACGCCTGTTTGGAAGCGAGCAAGGTCACATCGGTAGCGACACAAAACAAGGATTCACCACAATATCCATTTTCCAAGCTAGTGTGAACGAAATTGATTTCTTCGAACTCGCTTCTTGATTTAAATGTACAGCTTCCTGATCTATGGTAGGATTCCATTTAATTTATCCCGTAACCCGCCTGCAGTAGCCTCGTTATGGTATGGGAAGCTGGTTATGTTTGGTTTGCAGTATGCAGTGCGCTGACATCATGACGTCGCTGTGGCTGGGGTTAGTCCCCTCGCCCGTATGTCGTCCTGCATGGTCCACAAGTGAAATACCAATAATAGTAGTATAAATTACCGTATGGTTAGTGGTGAATGTGTAAACTTAAAAATAAAAATCAATAAATAATTAAAAAGGACTACTTAAAAGTAAACCAATAAATAAGCGGAGTAATCACAAGAGGAGGACAAAAGGGAAATGATAGTGGTTGAAGATGATCTTATTTGAGACTCACTGATAAGGTGTCGTATGTGAAGGTTAAATATTAGTTCGTTCAAGGGAGTAGTCCGTTTGGACACATCCCTTGCATCTCTGCATGGCTAGCAGCTGTCTACTGCATCTTCGGCGGAAAGATTTAGGCTAGACTGGATAGGAATGTATTTGAGGCTGTTAAGAGTAATGGTAGTCAACTACGATGACTCCAGGGCACTCACTGAGTTTTTGGATAATATGATGACCTACAAGAATACGTTGGTTTCGATGAATTGCATGAGTGATCTGAACTCGAGTTCTGTCCTAGAGGTGATAGCGAGACGCCTACCTACTCGACTGCAAAGGAAATGGGTGAAAATAAGCTCTCGTATAGAGGATGAAAGTTTAGAGTCAAATTTCGATGATATTCTGAAACTGGTGGAAGACAGTGTTAACCAAGCTATGAGCAAGTTCGCCAGTATACTGCATCCCGTCCCTGAAATAGAGAAGTCAGAGAGCAAATCGCAGTCATTTATGACGAAAGGTTCTCAGAGAAGTGGATATCGAGAAAGCTATATGGTGTCTAGTAATCCATACAAACTTAATGAATGTGACAGCTTTCGTGGGACGTCCCCAACAGATAGGTTACAAGTTGTGAAACAAACACGGTTGTGTTTTACACGTTTGCAAGAGGTGTATACAAAAGCGAACTGTGAAGCAGTGAGCGAGTTTAGTGGTAAGCTAAATGTGAAATCAGGTTATAACTTCACAAGTTTTCAAGGTATTACTAGTCAGAGTAAAGGTATAAAACCTTTAAGGATTCATGAGGAAGAACCCAAATCATCTGCTGCTGTTATTAAAGAGATTGAAAATGATAGTCGACCATACAAACGGCGGTGAAGTGAATATTTGTGATAATGATCATGAAAGTGCAAATTTGTCTTTGGCTGATCATGATGAGACGAGCGGAATGCCCACTACTACTGAGTCAGACAAAGGTTCTGTACAACTTGAACGTGAAGTAGAATTAAGGGCAGATGCGGTTGCAGAAGGTATGGATACTCATGAGACCGTCAGTGTAAATGATCAGCGTGTGGCCCAACTATCGACAGATGTTAAAGCTAAACTGGAGCTAATAATAAAAGACAGCAGTGGTGGTAATCTTGCAGTTAGACAGCCTTCTAAAGGTAGAACAGTGATAGCTTCTGATGCACCATTAAGTTCATCAACTTGTATCAGTCAGTCATCGTTGGTGTTGTCATCCACAATGAAAGTGATGATAGGCCAACTGTGTATGAGCGTGTAATTGTAAAACTGACTTGCACGAATAAAGACCTTTCAAGTTTCAAGTTACTACTTGAATGGTATCATTTTTGGTATAAATTATTCTGTTCCTTAGCTTGGTTGGCCAGATATGTAGTATGTTTTTTAGTCATCTGCATTTCACGATACAATGTCACGGGCGTGTTACCATTCAGAGTTGAGGATATAGATGTTGGAAGGAGGCCAGCAAATGAACTCAACGACGATTTTCCAACTTAGGGCGTCAACCTGAGAAGGGCTGTAGGCGTACTGCTGTAACTCCTACAATTCTTCAAGGGTAGTACGTCGAAGCGCAGTCCAGCATACTTGGTGTGTTGTTTTGTACATATGTTCATCTATTCTTTGGTTAATATTGTTTGTGTTCGGATATTCTCCACCTCAGACGGGTTGCAGGTGTACTGGTGTAAGTCCTGCGATTCTTCAAAGGAATTACATCAAGACATGGTCTGCGAGGTTATGTGTACTGTTTGTATATATGCATGGTTTATCGTACCAATTGGTGTTTTTGGATTCACTGTGTTTATTTGTTGTTTTCGTACTGTTGTATTGTATAATTTTGTTAACATTTTCGTCGTACTTACTTCTAAAGTTGTTTCGAGTCTTCTACATCTGTGAATGAAGTGATTGATATTAAAGACAGCAGATGGGTTGTATACGCCCGGGAGGCTGCTGCTGAGAATGACATGCACACACAGACAAGGATTAGCTATGGAATCAATGATTGAGAATGAATGTTTCGATTCAAGCTGGGGTCCCACACGCCGGGGAGTGAGAGTGTAGACGGATGAGGCTTGCATACGTCACCGTTACTAGAACTGAGGCAGAATGAGTGACAAGTGATAGCAGTGGTATTTGGTACTGAATAGATAAGAGGATGTGCGAAGAGTATCATGAGGTGCTGCTATGACCATGTAGCTTTCTGCAAGAGTCATTCTGGCAAGTGGCGACTTTGTTGCAAGATGTCAAGACGATACCTTTCACTGGAAGGTGTAGGTCGTCGTCAACGAGTGAGATTGTGCTGTGTGTATGCCTGTGGTATGCTGGCTTTGTTGTTTATTCTCCGTTTCAGCTTTGTCCTTGTGGCCCAGGTTCTCGCACTGGTATCCAAGTCAACGTGTATTGGTCGTGATAGAAAAAATGGATGGATCCCGTCTCACAGTCTCCTGATCCACTACTTTGGCCTATGTAGTTGACCCCACTCACAATCATTGCGAGGTATTTTGTAAATGTATTATTTTGTCTAATTGGATCAACTGGGTCCTTTAACCTACACAGCTTATCCAACCTGAGTGAGTTTGTGGGTTTGAATGTCACCCTAATTCCTGACTTATTAAGAATCCTATGTATGGTTTCAGATGTGCCCCCTCCTTAAGTATAGTAAAGCTGAGGGTCCTTTATATTCTTTCTTATTTATTTCATCATTATTAGTTTCATCATTAATTTTAGTTTGCTTCTGAACTTTTCTTATCTTCCTCATGAATTTTAAAGGATAATTATTTAACACCACTACTGAGTGCTACTGCTTCGTTTGTTAGACACTGAACTAAGCCTGTCTTAAGAGTTAATGGATGAGGTGCATTGAAGTCTAAATATCTATTAGAATGCGTTGGTATTTTAATGAACGCTAGTGTGCAGTTCACCTTCTATTCGTTTATTTTACGGTCTAACAGCTAATTCTCTTTGCTCATTTACGTATTCAAATTTTTATTTTATTCCCTTTCCTAGTGATTTTTAATGTGTCAAGAAGCTAGAAGCAAAATAAAATTAATGATGAAACTAATAATGATGAAATAAATAAGAAAGAATATAAAGGACCCTCAGCTTTACTATACTTAAGGAGGGGGCACATCTGAAACCATACATAGGATTCTTAATAAGTCAGGAATTAGGGTGACATTCAAACCCACAAACTCACTCAGGTTGGATAAGCTGTGTAGGTTAAAGGACCCAGTTGATCCAATTAGACAAAATAATACATTTACAAAATACCTCACAATGATTGTGAGTGGGGTCAACTACATAGGCCAAAGTAGCGGATCAGGAGTAGCCAGATCTTTGGAATATAAGAATTTAGCCGAGGTATGAATGGTCGACCCCAATAGGATAAGTAATTTAGAAAAAGCTTAGCGATTGCACTGACAAACAACCACACAATAGGGTGGGAGAGGGTTACAATTCTAGGTAGTAACATAGGTAGGTGATAAGAGAGGTTGATTACTGAATCCTTGTTAATCGAGTCTACACCCAACATGAGCGATAGGAATGACTCATCACTCATACTGGAAATATGGAAAATACTACTACTAATCAAGTCAAGCCATGAAAAATGATGGAATTACATAAACGAAGTCAGAAAGTTGTGTGAGTACCTTGATATGATTATGGGCAATAAATTGTGCTCGAAACGTGATCAGTTATTATTACTGTAAAACACTGTGAGACCTTGTGAAAACAAATTTTACCCATAAGAAAATTATATGCTATCACAGTTCACAGGTTCTTTTTTATCTCTTTCAACCACCAGCTCTCTTCACCAAAACGGATAACTTGTGGTATAATACAAGATAACTTTCCTCGCCGTATTCCATTCCATTTATTCATAAATGACATAGTCTCTTTGATCGAGTATTTCAAGGCATACCACTTTGCAGATGATCTCAAGATAGTTTGTTATGTGTACAATAGCATGCGCATGGAAAGTAAGATCCAAGGTGACTTAAACAATCTAGGCGATTGGAGGGGAAAATGGTAACTGACTTTCAACCCAGACAATCGCGGTATAGCTCACTTTGAACGCTGGAAACCGAGAATGTGTTTGTATATGTGTGGTAAGCTCCTCTGAAAGCTGAACACAGTCACAGATCTCAGGGTGACATACTCCTATTTAACCTTTTCCGATCATGCAAATAAGGTGATATCTGACTGTAAACGACCTACTGGCTTTGTACTGCGTAAATTCAAGAAGCAAGATTAGCTGTATATAAGAAATGTACTCGCCTAACACATGGATATTGTGCTCTACTATTCGGTAGCCTAAGGTCTACAGACCGAACGAGATTTGAAAGTGTCCAGAGATTCCTCATGGAGCTCACGGTAGGATTTTACCAGCAAGTGGAATATGTTGACAGGTGTATATGACTGAAATTAGAAGCCCTATGGTTAAAAAGAGTGGAATGCAACTTGTTTCTGCTCTTCAAAGTCACTAGGAAACATTATTACAGTAAATCATCCATAACTTGGACAAATATTAAATCATATCAGCCG